CCAAAAGTATTGTTTAATATCTCAAATGCCATTGTGCATGTGTGTGTGAGAGAGAAAAAGAAATAGAAAACAGAGAAGATATCTGATGTTAAAACACTCGAGGCTTCAGCTTCTTTCTAGAATAAACCAGGAAACAGGCGATGTAATTTATACAGGCTACTCTCTGTTTTGTGTTACCTGTGTCTTGAAGCTACCAAGTGGAGAGTCACTCCAAATTTAATCAAAACCAAATCCCCCATCATGACTTACCGATGATTAACAGTACTGAGGGTCATAGCAGTTAAGAGGAAGCAAACAGCTGCTTGTATTGGAAATGGTTTCACCAGCAGCACTGTCATGTAAAAGAAAATAAGGAGTGGCACAATGCTTTTTGGTGACACCAAATGTAGTGTTGCACCGGATGGAGCAGCTCAGCAACTGTACTTTTTTTTTGCATCAGCGGAAATAAAACACTTAAAATTACGAGAACACAGTATACACCTCACCTCTCCTCAGCTTTCCACAGTAACTGAGGAGGACCGCGAAAAAACAGGAAACTACATAACGGGGCAATGGCCTTCAAAATAAAAGCTTCTGACCAACAAAATCATTCAAGGCAACACATCTATGCAAAAATATTGAACAATATGACATGAAACAAAGAACTGAATGCATTACATGAAGATCTTAACAATAGAAGTGGACATTAACACCCCAAAATAAAATAATATGCACTGTAAGGTTTTGAGAACGTTCACACTGCATATTCATCTGCTACAACAGCACAAACGAAACTTTTTGCAGCACAAACGGATGAGGGTGGGGGGCCAACTTCACGCACGTGTAGTTAACAATAGTTAGTGTGTTGTGCACAAGCTGCAAACACAGAAGGGCTAGAGTAATTCAATCTGTATACTCAGTTTGCGGCATTAAACTTTATATACTTAACATGGACACCGCAAATGTTGTAGATCGAACATAGCTGTATATATCTTCCAGATTTTACGGTATAAGGCAGCTAACGTAATGCACATGGCGTAATGGCGTCATACAGACGTAAAGGGACGTTTTACACATCGGATTCTGGATGTTTATTGTTTGAGCCAGGGCTGCGGTCAACGGCAGGTAAGAAAATAAAATAAATTAGCTTGTTGTCATGTCACTTAATGTACCCTGTCATCTGTATATTTGTCAAGAGACAGATAACATAATTTACCTAGATTTGTCCGAATGAGACACGCTTGAAAAACTACCCAGTTCGCGTTAAGGTAATGGGCAAGTCAGCATGCTAACGTTAGCAGATGATACATGCTCGTTACTGTAAACGCTTGTTAAATTGTGCATGAGTCCCGAAGTATGTTCCTTTTGTGTAGTTTCAGGATAAATGTCACTAGCGCTTGTGCATTTATCGAATTCAGTCACTGTTGGCTAAACATAATGCTATATTTTTTTGCTTGGCAGGGTATTTTTAGCTTAGCCCATTATCTGATTTGCTGTTGAGTGAACTCAGCAGCGTTAATGTTGTTGGCAGAACAAAGAACACAAAACAAAGCACTGGCTGTCAGGTGTTTCGCTTAACTGCTGCTCATCGTCAGAAGTTTAATTGTTGTGGTAGAACTATTTAGAAAGCAGTATTACAGTATATCGGCCAGCACAATACCGGTAGGGTTTTTGACATCCTGATGCAAGCTAACATAGCTTATTGCTACTTAGCTAACGTAAAATGACACCAAGTGAGTGAAGTCTTCTGAATCAGCAGCTCGAACAAGGAGCATTACGGAGTAATGTTATGTACCCATCTGCTGTGAACCAGTAAAACAATATTTAATTAATTTCAAAGTCGTTAAACGCCTGATGTACTAGTTACAGATAAGGGGCAACTCGACTTTTCATAATCTAGCTATATAGTTATGAAAAGGAGGTAACTATTACTTTTTGTTATTGTGTAGTTTCATACTGTAAACCCAGTTTGTGCCCACCCCCTCTACTTTTCCAATTTCTTTTATAGATATTTTACAATTTATCAGTCTTGTATAACAATGCAGAGCCATTAAACACTGTACAGTGAACCCCAGCAGTGAATTTAATACCTGCAGTAAATTTGTGTACACCTAGTTTTTTGTATGTTAAAGTTTGAACAGGTTATTTCCTTGGTATATTGCAATATATCAGATGATTATCCTTAGCCTATACTTTTAGGAACTTGTTACAGAATAGTACATCTGTATCATATAGATTTGTTTTACTTCAATGTCATACATACTTACAAGGTGTCTATGAAGCCTGTCATTTAAGGATAGCTCTGAGCCTGTAATAAGCCAGTGGTGGAATGTCATGTGAGAGTCTGGTGACAGCCAAACAGAAGTCTTTGTGCACAATGAGCTTGTTGGATTGCGTGTCTTTGTTTTGGTGGTAACCAGAGTGCTGAAAGCAGTCTCTGTCGTGGTGTTTTAAAGAGGTGTTGATTCAGCATTTTGATGTTTGTGGTGCTGTTGAACTGTATTGTTATACTGACAGGTGTTTCTATTATTTCTATTATTCCAGTGTCAGTTAATATTATATAAATATTATAAAGCTTTGAGTTAGTTTGCAGTTGTCCTTTCATTAATTGCTGCTGCTTCTTAAATAGCCTCACAGGTATTAGGTAGTGTGCAAATAACAGCAATACAGAGACCATCTTCAATTTTGTGCTCCTTTGAATAAGTCAGTCTGTGTGCCATCAGCATAAGTTTTATTTGTTTTAAAATGTTTAAAAATCCTTTCAGTATACTTCCCAGACAGCTTTTTAAAATGTTTTATTACATTTAGTCTGTTTTGTTGCACTCAAGACTCTTGAATCACCAAATTAATTGATAAACAGTAAAAGCTACTGTTGAGCATCAGAATGGTTTGATTTGATTTTGATTTGATTTATTCTTTCAAGCATGTAAAGACAGTTGATATGTCAACACACATAATTTTACACATATCCAACAAATGCTAATCCAATATCAATTTGCTTATACCTAGTACATGCTTGAATGGAGTAGGAAGAAGTCAGACTTATCTAGTCCTACCCCATGACATCATCTTACCATCATTGGTTTGCAAGCAGTAAATAATTCTCTTCTACAACACACAAGTATTATACTAAAAAATTATAACAGTGTTAACATTCTTGCATAATTACATTCTTAAATAATTATCTTCTACACCACACAATTAATATACTAAAGAATTATTACAATGTGTTAACATTCATACACCACACCCACAATGTTCCATCTAATTAATCATTGAGC